TTCCATCAACTGGATCTGTTTTATACAGTTTCCTTTTCAAAATAAGAGTTGTAGGAAAGAAATGAACACATCTCTACATTATGAGATATTTTACTTGTTTCATAATATTCCTCAGAATTCTAAACAGACAACTACAACGATGTGTTTATTGCTCGGTCCATTTTTAATACGACCGCAACTTCCATGTATTTGAATGAAATAATGTTTGTCTGTAAAAACCTACATTGTTCAAACTTTGACAAACTTGTGTTGAGGACAAAGACAATGTGGAACACATACAGCACTGAAGCTACAGTGAAGAATAAAACTTGGTTGGTGTCAACTTCTGAATTATGACAACGCTGTTATATGTAATATATATAATTTAAATATGCATTAACTATACATGGAGAATTTATATCATTGAGGTAGTAACTGAATAATACACTAATATGTTTATTCAAGAAAACATTGAATTATTGTGCTGAATGTGGAATTTATGGAGTCACAAAGATTGTTGAATAATTCAGTCATAAATCATAGTAAATTATTATTCTGTAAATAAAAACAAATATAATCATACGATAAAATCTGTTAAAAAGACATTGAAATGATGAAAATACTTTTTTTTAAATGGTTTAAAAGTTTTTATTTCATATGTTGTTATATATGCATCATGAATTATTATTTGTTTTATGTTGATATTTTTGTCAGTTGCACATTTATTCTTCCAGTCTCATGTGCACCAAAGCGAAGAGGTATAAAGTGTTCACCCTCTGAAAACATATTTCATTTACTGTTTAGCGTTTAATGTATATTTTGTTGTTTAAATGCGCATTCTGAATAAACTGGCCTTGATTCAAGCAGCGGTTCTCTGCTTCAGAACTGATCCTGGATAAACTCCAGAGACTCTTGTGCATATATCAGCAGTTTCAGAAATATTTAAACCATCCAGTCCAGCACCAACAACCACAAATCACTGATCTCACATACATGTCTCTTCTCCTAATGTTTGATGTGAACATAAACTGAAGCTGTGTAGCACCCCTCGCCTGACGCAGGTCACCGGAGCAGCCAGAGGAGGGCACCATGCACAACAGGATCAGTTTTCCATCATCACCATGGGGACGGTTGTTAAACATCCACTGTCAGAGATGGTTTTCTCATTGAAATCCTGAAATTCTCTTATATTTCATATATTCTCCTCCAATTATGAAATAATTCACAATCATGCAAAAGAAAAATAAGTGCAATGAAAAATTTAAAACATGAAACCAGGTTAAAAAAACAGGTAAGACATAGTGGGACAAGACTCATCTGGAGCTCAGGGCAGTTTTAAGTTTTTATTTTTTTAGATGACAAAGAGGAACCTGAAAGAATTATACTACCACTTGGAAAGTCTCAGTAAATAGTCATGTTATCTATCAATCAGACTTTGTGCGATAAAAGCAAAATGGGAAAAAGATAAATGTCAACATATCAGTATAATCAAAGATGTTATGTTAAAGTCCTGACCCTCGTTTTTCCAATCCCCCTCAGTTAACCTTTGCTGTGAATGAATGAAGCTGCTGAAAACCCTCCACCAGGCAACATATGTTGACGCTGACAGTGAGTTTACCGTCATTATAACTTTGTGCTGCGGCGACATTCTGTCTAAATGAACCAGGATCCGTCCTGTCGGGAGACTCGTGTGTTTCTCTGTGAGTGAGAGAGTGTGACGTCTCCTTCCTTCTTCTTCCTGACTCAGACCTCTTCAACATCTGCTGCTCACAAGAACATTTGCTCTGATGCACCGAGCGGGAATCATGAAAACACGCAGATCAGAATATGGTGTTGTTGAATCACACGGCAATGATGTGTTATTGTTAGAGAGGGGAGATCTGTTGATTTAGCTCCGACACATGTATGGTTCTCTCAGAATGAATGATTAATGGTTCGGTTGGAAAGGTAGCTGAGCTGCCTAAGTCACATAAAAAGCCCTTGAATGGTAAATTTATGGAGTTTTGCCATTCACCCATTCACACAGGGCGTCTATGTGTTGCACTTTCTCTATCATACATCCCTCGTGCACTGTCGGCACTGGGGGAAGTTCGGTGTTCAGCATCACACAGATTGGGGGAAACAGGGAATGAAACTGCGATCTTCTGGTCAGTGGACGACCCGCTCTACCTCTACCTCCTACAGACACAACACTCTCAAACATCAGGAAACTTTTATTTACAATTTCACATTCCATCAAATACGCTCCATAGCCAACTGCTATGGCCCTGAACCCCTTCATGTTTTAAATATTTATTTTCTTGATGTACTTTTATTTAGGCTGATATTGTGTTAAGTGTTGATTAATAACTCTACAGATGTTTATTGTCGTAAGTCAAATCAGATTTACTGTACGCCTGGTTTAGAAAACATTCTGGTTTTATCAAGAATTAATAGAACTTAATTTAAACCTTCCCAAAATAATAAAGTTCAGGATTATCACTTTTAATGCGGAGGTTGAAATTCAAATCTGGAGAATCCGGCCTTTCGATATGTGAGACAAAGATCAGCCCTGAAACCTCATGTGGCAACACAAAGACCCCCCCATGTTCACATTACCATCCCGACAAACCATTCACCAACTGCTGCCCCTTCCTTCCTGAAGACGCCCAAATTAGATCAAAGCCCCGACAAGTCCAACAAAACCGGTCAGTCTCATTTCCTGTTTTTGTTTTCTGCCAAAATCCAAAAACCACAAGAAAATAAATAAACCAAGAATAACCACAAAGCTGGGATGTGTTACGGGGTTTAACAGTCGGGAGCGACTGCAGAAGTGAACCGGGGAGAGTGGAGAGCCGCCTCATTAGTTTCCAATACGCTGGAGTCGAGATCTGATCCCTGTGAGGCAGAGGGAGGAAATGAGCAGATCTAGTTGCGTCGGATGAGACACTTGTGATGTGATGTTTATTTGCTGGACGCTCAGACAGACTCGTCTTGTCGAGCTTCATTCAGTGTTAAATTACTGCAGAGACTATGACTATGGAGATTTATTACTTGGTCTGGTGGAGTTTTAGACTTCAACACATTAAACAACCACGTCAGCGATTATTTGCAGATGAAGTACAAAGCAGGTTATCGTTATTTTCTTATTCTGTCTTTTTCTGATGGTGACCTGACGTATGTTAGGTTCACCACGTGTTTATATCTTAAAATAAGAAGATTAGCAGAAAAATAAAGACACACGTTAAGAACCACATTAAATGACACAAACCATATTTGACAAACTGTACATGACGTGGAGGGTTTATGACCTATACAGCAGCCAGCCACCAGGGGGCAATCCAGATGATTTGGCTTCACTTGTGAGGAGCTGTCATGTCGTCCATCTTAACACACACAGTGAATTCTCTGGACATATTTTAACGAGTACTGAGCATCAGATAAGAAAAAGTTCACTGGTTTGATGTGAGACTGAATAAAGTCAGAGAGAGGGAGTCGAACACCGACGACATCCTGACACGTCAGAATCATCTAAACCTTTTTTCGGTCTGATCTGTCTCCGAACATTTGGTGTCTCGGCTCGCTTCCGCTCTAATGACAGTCATGCGTGTGTGACAACAGAGCTGCACTGGAACACACGCCCAGCATATCTAATGACAGCAGTTATGACCTCTATGGCACAAGAGGCAGAGCAGACAAAAGGCAGTCAGGCTTGAAGTGCTGCAGCCGCCGTCATTAGGACGATATGAGTATGAGAAGTGAGACTCTGCGCCTCCGCTGGGATCGTTTGTGGAAACACACCTTTGTGGAATTTAGCTGAGTGATTTCATAGTGATAGTTGCAAGAGGTGAATTCAAATGTGTACATGTGGAGACATTTCCGTTTGTACATCAGTTCATGTTTCAGGGATGTTTTCGTCCTTGAAGACACGAAGCAACGAAAATTACATTCAGCAGAAGTACATTATATTTGAAAAATACACATAGTACACGGAGACTTTCTCTTTTTCTCAGTTTTAAAGAGTCAGCTCTTGAAATTAACTCATTATTTGAGTCTTTATTTTTATAATAGATAGACAGATTAATATTACTGTCATACAGAATATATTTATTTATACTTTGACCATATACAATATCATTTTATGAATGTGATTAAACTATATACAGTGACTTTTCGGTCAAAACAAGATATTTTTAGGATATTTTTGGTTTTATTTATCTAGTTTTTTCCATTTTCCCCCCGAATCTGTTGAGTGGTTTGAGTTCCTTTAAAGGAACCGCGTAAATGTAATATTCCTCTTTTTATTAGAAGTAGTGTACAACAGTGACAGTGAATAGAATTATGCCACAGCATTGACACATTTAAATGTCAATAATTCATTTCATCATAAGGCTCAAATATCAAATCTGTTTTCGTTTGTTCACTGGATTACACAAAAACTCGTAATCTGATTTACACCAAACTCTGTGGAGGGATGGAGCCTGGTAAAGTTTTGGTGCAGATTTAGATTAATGTGTAAATCCAGGACATTTTTAAACGATATTTTATGACAAATAAATGATTTAGTTTCTCCGACCATATACTTTTCTTTCACATTTCTACTATTAGAACTGGACAACCATGTGTTTGACGGTTCAGTCTCAGCTGAGGTTTACACTCAGTTTTTATTTTAAATAAATACTATGCACACAATAAATAATTTGAATAGAAACTAAAGCAATAAAATAATGTGATGCCACAGGAGCTGTTGGTGTGTTTTAATCTCATTGAACTGAAATTCTATGAGAGATAATTATAGATAATTATAGTAATTAATCTCACAATTACACAGTGATGTTGTTAACTAGTAGAAAAAGTACTGTGTAATATTAGGAAGTAGATCACGAACATGCCCAGCGACAAAATTAATATTTTTTTACCTCCTACATTTCTTTAGAATACTTGGGGAACAAATCCCGAGATGGAAAGAGTGCTACGACAAACAACATGAAGTCAATTTTTTATTTTTTTCTAACTGCAGATTGAAAGTATACAACTGAACATCATGATTAGATTTTTATTATGAGACTCATAAATAAAAATACAAAAAAATTTCACTACAAAAAACAATCTACCGTTAGTAGGATGTAAAAAAACCGAAATATTCTTTATATTTTCACTATCAAAGGCACAACATTGACTTTAGTGACAACATGGAGAAGAGAACCTGCAGCATTCAATCTTTTATTTTTCCTTTTTATTTTTTTTCACACTCCATCAGAGAACACTGAAATGTTACAAAGAGATGTGTCCGATTCTACATGGAAAGAAACAAAAAAGAACAACCTCTATATCAACAGACGGTGGCTATAGATTGGTGGCACAGCTCAACAGGAAACGCACGGCCACGGGAAAAAAAAAATAGCACATTGTCGCTGGAAAAGACAAAGGACCTTTGCAAAGCTCTAATGCAAATTTCAAAAAAACAAAACAAAAAAAAAAATTCATACAACCGACAACAATAAGAGAACAAAATAAAGAAAATAAAAAATAATAATTGGGCACCTTCTAAGATTAGGCTAAGATTAGGTGCTGAGGTAGACAAAAACTATAACAATTCAAATCATAATAAAAACACTATTTTCTTAATACAGAGCAACTCGACTGGCACTTGTGCTGTCACAACAATGGAGGAGAAAAGTAGCACAGACAAGCCAGGGAAAGACAAAGAGAGAAAAAGCTTCGTTACATAAAAAGCTTAGTAATGCTTGGTCCGACAGGGCGATTGGTCCTCAGTGCTAATATAAAAAAATACAATGTCTTGGTGCTTTGTTACTCAAACAGTTTTTAGTCTAGACCTTGATGGCACATGCATTGCAACACTGCATGAAATGGCTACTTTGTTCTAGAAACACCACACCAAAACACAGAGTGCCAGCTCCAGGGATGCCATGATTCCTCTCTGACGAATTTCACATCCCCTTCTAAATGCATTTTGTAGAAAAGAAAAGAAAAGTACTTTCAAAAGAAGAGGGGGAAAAAACTGAAGGGGGCGGGAATACCCTAGTGCCAACCCACCCAAATCGGAGGCCTCCTTTATTTTTTTCAAGAGCAATATAAAGTTCTCATTAGCAAACCCGTTGCTGTAAAATAAAAAAATAGACGACGTGAGTGGAGCAGATCTGCGCGTCTGCATTCCAGCAAAAAAAAAAAAAATTCTTTGCATGCTTTTTGCTTTGTGTCGCTAAATAAATGCTTTTGTGTAACCAATCGCAGAGTCACAGGAAGAGGAAGAAGTGAATGCAAAATTCCAGTTGCTATTTCAGTAGCATTAAGGGGTTTATTGCCTTGAAAAACAAGCCCTGCTCTATTCAGGATTAAAAATCAAAAAAACTAAATCGGGTCATTTTTCGAGCGTCATGACATCCCTAGGGTGCTGGAGACACCATTTTTATTTTCTTCTGAAAATACAGAAAACTAAGCAGATATAGATGGATATTTTTGTTGAACAATTTCCATTTTAGGCACAAAGATAGTACAGAAACATCGGAGGAACACTGAGGGAAGAACTATATCGATGCCAATGTATATATATTTTTTTTTCCAACATAGAGAAAAAAGTGGCATAGAATATCCTCTTATTTTGTATCTGATCTGATTAGTGCATTTTTCCACTAATACACACACACACACATACACACACACTCAGGCACGCACGCACATAGTTACACAGTCGTTTACGCACTCGTTCACCCGCACGAGAAAAGTAGAAAACATTCAGAGGACGATGATGGGAATAACGTGACTGCACAGGTTTTGCATTGTGGTGGTTCGGACTGAGCCGTGACTGGGTATATTATAGTGGGTGGATATTTTAAGGAGGGTGAAAAAAGCCCCCTCAGCTCACAGTGTTTGAGAATAAAATGGCAAGACACCAACGGGACATGCCATCCCTTCTTCTTTTTTTTTTTTTTTCAAGTACAAAAACAAAATATGTCGACAGTCAAGTTTGATTGAAAAATTGTGAATGACAAGTACTAATTGGTCGGTTTTGGCAGCCCCTCCCCCAGCCCCCCGCCGTATTTTATCATCTTTTTTTTTTGTTTTTTTTTTTGCTTCTTTTGTTTTTTTAAACTCCGTCACATACACACACGCTCGTAAAAGTTGTGGCAGATAGATTTTTAGTCCTTCACCTACAATGCAATTGACATCCAGAAAGCAACACTTATTATTACAATATGTTCACACACGTTTTTTTGTCCAACAATATCAAAGAGGAGCAAGGCAAAAATGATTCACACCCAGAGAGAAGAAAAAAATAAAACAGGTAAAAAAAAGAAATACAAATATTTGTGCCCTGCTGTGACCCTCCACAAATGGAAAAAGGACTGACAATACAAAAATATCACAATTTTTATATATCAAATTGCCTCTGTTGGCTCTTGTTCAGGAATACACTCATTTCTCAAGAGAGCTCGTCAGCCGAGAGAATCTCTATTTTTAACCCTCTGGTTTTTTCTTTTCTTTTGTTAATTTTTTTTTTTTTTGATTACCGCTTGCAGTTCCAATTGTCCAACGCACGCTGCATCGCTGCAAATATGACCTGTCCTGGGAGGTTCAGCCATTTTTCCAATGAACCCTCTTTTTCTTTTTTTTCTTCACATTACAAAACTACAATTCTATTAACATATTTTCAAGTTTAAATTCTCCACTTTAAACCCTCTTGAAAAGAAATTCCTCTCATCTGCTGCGTCCCTCTGACTCATCACTTAAGGCTTCAGAATTGCTTTTTGTTTTTTTTTTTCTCTGCGCTTCTCTGGTTGGAGTTGCGGGGGGGGGCGATAAGAGAAGAATAAACATCTGTATGAAGGATTTTTCACATCCTATCAGTCTCTACTTTTGTTATTTCTTACCCTTTTATATACATTTTGCTTAAAAACACAATCATAAATCAACTTTTGAAAAAAAAAAAGCATGAGATGAAGTAGCAATGATGAAGTAACGCAAACACAAAAATGTGCTTTTGCAAAAAAAAGGAAAATAAAACAACTTAGAGGTAGCTTTTATAACAAATGACCAAACCTTCCGGCTCTTTAACAAGCAGGGTTAATAATAATACCAAGTTTGGTAACAACTAATGCACAAAGAAATACACAACATTAGAAAAAACAAATCTCTTCACCGTGGCACTTATATTTTTTTCATCGTAGACATTGCTTCATCATGTTGTGCAATGCATCTTTCCGACGTACGCGCATGAACGAGAAAAAAAAATTTACAAATGAAACAAAAAAAAAAGGGAAAAATTAAAAAAAAAATACACAAGCAACATGAGGTCACAAAAACGAGGTAATTCAAGTACGATGTGTTGAGATCAAACTCAAGGTCAATAATAACGACAACAAACGACAGGAGACGAGAGACAAAGCGCAGGGACGAAAAACCACAGAGAGAGAGAGTAGATTTATTCTGTCGTCTTACTGGTCGCCCCCTAAGCTGCTGGGCCGTATCTCGTCCAATCAGTGATTTCTTTTTTCCTCCACCGGCCAGTTGGACAAGCGGTCACCCCGGTAACGCTGTGACATGCGGTGATGTTCATTAAAGCCTTCGGTTCGACCTTAATACCTGTGGCTGTGTATACCATGAGGTCTAATGCTGCATTTCAGGGATGTCGGAAAGTCTGAAATTCCAACGTCAAGTGCGAGAAAATTTGAATTTCGGTTTGAGGCTTTAAAAGTTATTTTAAAAATATTGTTTTTTTTATATTATGCTGAGGGCCCTGACTCAAATCCCATCTTTCTTTCTGTGTCAAGGTCATCACATCCAACGCAAACCAACGCATCCTCATAACATCTCAACTGTGTTTTTGCTTAAAGCCCTGATGGTCTTCCTTAAAGTTTTTCAGCCGATATCGTACTTTCCAGGCGGAAATTCCCAAACGGAAATTTTTAGGTTTCTGAGGCATTTTCCAGATCAGCTAGTTTTAAAAATAAAGCCTCGTCTCATTGTACTGTTAAGTTTGAATGTAATGATCTTATGGTAAGAAGGTTCGAACCCCTGGTTGGCCTCTGTAATAAACCTACTTGATACTGGATTGGTAGATACAGACTTGTCTCACTGGGTTCTAAAGTCTGGATTTGAAGACCACATGACTTCATGGCCCCAGCGTGTGATCTGTTCTGTCAGATCCTATCAAAACACCTGTTGGTGGATGATCACGCGTCTTAATTGCAGCGAGTTGACCGATGTATGTCGGATTACCGTTGGAATTAAAGTTTTCCGACTTTGACCAAAAGGCAGCAGTGACCTACAGCGGTATCATTTCGACGCAGCCTTTGTACGAACCGGGCTTACAGTCTTTCACATTCATGTTTTTGCAGCCATATAACAGTCTTCATCCTGCAACACCGCCTTCCACAGAGCTGTTCAGGTGTGCAGCTAAGGCATCGCAGCAGCTCTTCAACATTCACTACGAGCAGTCAAAGTCACAGGACTCCCACGGAAAAAAACAAAGAAGCAGCCTTATCCCAAAATGTTGTGTTCCATCACAGTGGTGGTGAATGGACAGATCCGCCGTGTTAGAGAGTGTTCGAGTGTCAGGACGTGTAGTGTGAGATTATGATAGTGATCCGGTTAAAATGCACATGATAATAGCAGTCCAGTCTTCTATTGCTGAGCAGGTGAGTAGATTGGGTTTATTGTGGCGTACTGTTGTAGCAAGTCATGGTTTAATGAGAGGATATACAACCTCGCAGACATCAAACAGAGACTGTTGTCGTCATTTGTTTTATCTGTGCAATCAAGCTTTGATAAACTATGACGCGGAGCTAAAAAAAATATATATATGATGAAAAAAGTGACGCAAGTTAGCCTTTAGCTCTCCGTGGAGTTGGGGGGGCGGGGGGGGTGCCAGTGATGACTCCTTGTGCAGCCCTCGTTTGACGCAGAACCAGGAAGACTAGTGAGAAAAACCAGAGAGGCATCCGACCAAAAGCAGCACCAGCTTCCCCCGTCACCACCACCACCACCACCACCCTTACAACCAAATGGCTGCTTGGTTTGCAGTATTTTAATGCTGCCACCTGTCCAGTTCAGCTGTTTCGTCTACTGCAGAAGCCGAGGGGCTCTTCTCTTGCTGATTCTCAAGGGCTGTCTCATTGCCACCGCTGCTGGGAACTGAGGGATTTAACGTGCAGACAGGTCGACAGAGATTTTTTGGTAAAAACTGTGTCCCGCTGCTTAGACAAAAAATAATACGTTTCCCTTTTGGGAAAGATTCGGGGGCATGTTGACACAAAAGCAGTTCAAACTCCCACCGGAGTGTACGTTTGTTTTAAAACTCAAATGATGTGGTGACGAAATATGTGTTCGTCCAGCCTCGGGGAAAAAATTGTTATGGTTGAGAAACATGGTTAAAAAAGGAGAAAAATTCAGATAATGGCCTAATCTGATGCTTCAGATATTTTTTCATGTGAGGGGCGAAGGTAAACACCACAAAAATCCTTTCATCTGTTTTTGACAAAAAAAAAAAAATGGAGTGAAAGATTCGTGCAGGTTCAGGTAGCCCTTGAGAATCTGCTTTCTGGCCACTGTGGCTGCAGCAGCGTCCGAAGAAGTCACTTCCTTGCAGCTCGCTTGCTGTCTGGTGCCGAGTGAAATGACCCGAAACAATAACACAGTTGCAGATGTAGTGAATGACCCGGTGAATCCGAACAATGGTGGAGAATCTCTCTCCATGTCCAAGTCTTCCTTTTCTCAGCACTTGTGTCCCACCGCAACCGCCCTTCAACCTCCCCCGGTCGGTCGTTGCCGCCGCCCTTTTGCATGAAAAGAAAAAAGAGAAAACGAACCCTCTTGCTTTCGAGTCTCTCGCCGTTGACGTTCCTCAGCTGTCAACACTCCGCCACAGCTCCAAATGCCTCCTCTCCGCTCAATTACATTCCCCTTACCTCTCCTCTCCACCCCATCCCCACCCTTCTCACGTACCCTTTCTCTCTTCACTCTCCCGGACTCAGACATAGCAGAGGTAAAGGTAGGTCTTCTCTATGCGCCAGTCTGGGGGGACGTCTTCAGGCTTGTGGCCTTTCATGTGCTTCTGCATGGCTGACAGGCTGGGGCAGTACTCCAGGCAGATGGTGCATTGGTAGGGCGAGGCGCCATTGTGGGTGCGCAGGTGCTTGATCATGGCCGAGTAGTCCCTGGATCGCTGATGGCACAGCTTGCACTCAAATGGCTTCTCACCTAAGGACGGAGACAACACAGTGTCGGTCAATAACAACAATTTTGCGAACTAATAAATGCATTCAATCAAACAATGCACTGCAACATCATTTTAACATAATATGACAGTGTACTTATCGCCAGAAATCCCAATAAAATCCAGTCTATTAAAGAGAAACTTCAAATAAAAGCTACAAGACAAGAATAAAAGCCGTCTTATTGAAAGAAATGATCCCTTATTGGCAAAATATTGTTTCTTGGCAGTTTGCAGCAAGTTAAACCTGTTGTTGGGAGAAAAAAAACTGTCTCTGAGTCAGGAGACTTCAGGAGAGACGAATACGCCGTCACTGCTAATTTAGCAACTGCAGATTTCCCCCTGTTGGCTCACAAGGAATGCTGGTGTTGTTATGATAATTGGACCGTGCATACATAAAGCGACAAGTCAAAACGCGGGAGCGAAATCCCAACTGTCTGACGAACAGCAGTGCGCGGCTGTAAAAGACCACGCTAACTCTTTAAAGTTGTTCACACGGCCTCAGATAATTGGTACAACTCCACGAGAAAAGAAGAACAAAAGGCGTAAATGTACAGCGGTGAAGTTTGTTCACCTCTGACAGATGGTGTTAACACAGTGGCAGTCAGGTCTATCCCAATATCCCTCCAGAAGATAACAAAATGAGCTTCTAATTATTCCTGCCGTTGAGGGGAAATAACTCCTTTGTGTTCAGTTGTTATCAATTCTCATTAGTGCCTTTATTAAAAAGACTCCACTGTATTAGGATGTTGGAACCGTGCAACGCTTTTTTCATTCATATGACGCCGTGCAGTGGAAGAAACGGGAAAAGAGATGTCATGCTCTTTAATCAGACGGCTGCAGAGACTGTGCAGAAACGGTGATTTATTCACTGTCCTTGTGATAACAGTCAAAAATAAAAGTCTGAATCCATGAAATCAGATTAGCAGGTTCTAATATTAACCCGAGGTTCACGTTTCAGCTTTTTCTGGAGCTTTCGGTTTCATTGCATCCACTGAGGAGGAGAGAAAAATGGGCCTCACACCTCCTGCCTGATTATAATGGCATTACAATGAATATACAGAGAATTGCGTGGGTCCCCGAGAACGACTGATCAGGATACTCCACAAACACAATATTTTGGGAACCTTAAATTCAATGATCAGATATGTACAGGAGACACCAACTGCATGGTCTGCACTTTGTCTATAATCTTGATAAATAAATGTTTGTTTACAGTAATGATGTGGTTTGGTTCTATGCGTTTAGTTTGCTGTAGCTGTAGCCCCCCCCAAGTCCCTTCAAATGCTCCTGAATAGTACTGATGGTAAAACAACTGGGCTGCACATGAACCAGACAAGCACGCAAACAAACCCATATTAATGTTAATAAAAACAACCACATGCTCTCAAATTTCCAGGTAGCTATTTTAAAAAGAACATGTGATATTTAAACATCTGGTATTTCTATAATAAACCACATCTAATCAGCTAATCTCTGGTACATTACACATAATACAGCTCCTGCCACAAAGAGCTCCTGGAGGTGTCATAAATCAGAGCACAACATTGCTTTCTTGCTGTGGGGGCTGCTACAGTCGAGAGGCACATTTCAATTCTGCAACAGCAGCCAAGCTAAATGTGCTAATGATTTGAGTGATGGCAGGGAATAATCCACCAGCGCTCAAGCCGGCAGACGCAAATTAGACATGTAAATGCTGACCTTTTCCAATGGCATTTGAAATGAGCTGTCGGAAGTGATCTGGCCCGGCTCTCGCTGTCACCTTTCAGTTGGAGCGTCGCATGTGTGCGCTGGCGAAAAACGAGCGGCGCTGTGCCTCCGCTGCTCGGTCCGCCCTGTTCTTTCAGCGCCTTGGTTAACCTTGACCCCAGCGGTGAGCTGGCACCGTTTAGCCAATAAGCATAAATACACCATTGCAGGTGGTTGTGCGGTTTTTTTTTTCTGCAGGAGTGTGGATACATGTGTGATCTTGATGATATTGATAAGCCAACTGTAAACAGGCTCGCCTCGAATAACCAGCTAATAATGAATTGCAAATGGGGTCCGGATATTGATCCGCCATTGGCATTTAGGATGTGTGGAGAGAAGGGGACGGGGAGGTTAGGTTGCCAATGTCGATGATTCATCAAGCAGCTGCCTTTTGTGTGAGGTGGCCTTTGACTGTGAGCTTGTCACTTGCTCTTGTTATCTGCTGTTGCTCTCCGGCTTAACGCAAAGCCCCTCTCCCCCACATAAAAGGTGAAAGGGTGGACGGGGGGGGGAGCCAATTATTGGACAGCCTGCCTTGATAGTGTGGCTTAACAGCTGGCTTACTGAATGGGAGAAGGTGTGTGTGTGTGTGTTTGAGAATAAGAGATGGTGAGGAAGCATAGAGCCTTGGCCGTGTGCCATCCTGGTGAACACTCGCGGTATCCTCCCTCAGTCGGGTACGGAGCGTGCACTCATTCTCCGGGGCACCCAGCTTATCACTGTGTCAACATCTTTATGGGGCTCTAAATATACCGGGATCAATACAAAGTCTTCTGAGACATTCATCTACTGTATCACAGCAACAGAGATATCCATCTGCTCCGGCCTGTGCCTCACAACTTGGATTGCCTAAAACAGAGTCCTTTAACGGCCTCCATATGCCACATCAATATGTTTAAACACTGCATTATTATGAGGGGCAATGTGATATAGTGTTGCACTCATCAAGCTGAGGGATGGGGAAGGATGCAACAACTGTGCTCATATTAATCTAGAACAGAGCTTTGCAGATACTTTGTTCGGGCTCGGGTGGCACGGTGGTGCATGTGGTCGGCTCTGACATCCAGGGCCTTTCTGTGTGGAGTTTGAATGTTCTCCCCGTGCATGTGTGGGTATTGTTTGGTTACTTCCCCCCTGCAGGTTGGGTTGACTGGAGACTCTAATGATGATGCGATTGAAGAGGCTCGCCAACTCATCGCTTCCTCTGGCTAGATTCCTAACAAATTACATGTGTGGACAACTCTACGACAACTACGGCCAATCAGAGTTGGAAGACCAAGTTGTGCATGGTGAACTTGAACATAAACGACATGGATATAAAACAAACTTATCCCAGAAATAGACGTAATGACTGGAATAATAGGGAAATGACAAGGAGCTCTAGACTAAATTCTTCAAGGACACGACTATCCTAACACCCACCTACAGCTCTCAACACTTTAAATCACAACAATAAACACAGCATTTTGAACCACAGTACCTGTGTGCACTCGGTAGTGGGTTTCCAGCTGGTGCTTGAGGCTGAACTTCTTCCCGCAGCCATTACATTCATAGGGCTTCTCCCCAGTGTGGATGCGTTTGTGACCCTTCAGCGTGCTCTCGTCTCGGAAGCAGCTCCCGCAGAACTCGCATTCATATGGGTGGTCCCCCGCTGCCGTGTGGGAAGAAAAAGACAACGTTTATGGAGGAAAAGGACAAAAAAAAAAAACACAACAGCACGACGGCCAGAAACATGACGGTTTGCTTAATGAACATTTTAAAGAAGTAATTATCATGAATATTGTTAAAAGCTTCATTTAATCATTCGTTTGTTCTGAAAAACAAACATATTTGGCCGCTGGTTCAATGGTTCAATGCTCAGCACCATGAGAAAAAGTGTCTGAGTCGGTTTATTCAAAATACCAGAACAACAGTAGCTATGCTTCAGTGAACCAATTTAAAGGCTTTTATACGAGCAGACGAATGTAAACCTCTTTCTCCACAAATCCCCTGCACTGTTGTTTTGTTTTGTGTGAAGCCTTAAATAATCGTCGCCTGTCATGGCTGTCCAGCGGCCATGAGACGTATTATTGACCGAGCGCTAATGGATAACCTGACGGATGTGGCAGCGCTGCGATAACGAACTAAGTTTGTCATCACAGAATTTATGACCCTTTGGTGTACAGTGTTCATGTTTTCAATCTGACGAGTCACAAACATGCACGTTTTTCTAAAGGTCTCGTGGACGAGATGTTGAACGAGATGGCTGCTCCACGAAGCCTCTCAAAGAAACGTGGGACACGCTGGAGGAAGTAAACTCGTGAGACGATTGTAGGTGTAGCAACTATAAAGGTATCCGTGAAGTATCCATTTATGAATACTTATACTTCAAGAAAACGTGACAGCCTACAGTAAGTACTGCAGCCAGACTCCTCTGTTTGTCTATTACCTGCCAAGAGAAACCACACCCCTTCCCCTTGTTTACTGGAAGTTATAATAAGACTAATATTTGCAGCCTGAATAAACAACGACCACAAACATGGGCTCAATATTTACTTAGTTTCCTTAAGGTAAATTCAGCGTTAAGGCAGGTACGACTTTCACAGTTTAACTGGACTCTAAAGCCTGTAACTGAGCCGCACTGATAAAAATCTACTGTATATTAGTGACAGTAATTTAAGACCGTCTTAAATAAAATCATAAATCTCCTGTTCTCAAAAACTATCTATAGGTGCGGTTAAGCTTTGTCGGACACAGATGTGAAAAACGTCTCATTTAATCATCATTTGCATGTAACATCATCTTCATATTGACATTAACCATATTTCAACACTGAAGATGATGATCATACCTTTACTGTTAGTGTTTTTATTTACTGCGTACGTATTTATAGCTCCTGTTTTTAATCCTCACACACCAGCTAAATGTATTCACACTTTTAATTCACACGGCGCTTGTATTTACATTCTGAAACGTTCCACTTATTCCTGGCTGGTGGATGTACAGTGCGTGTGCTCATCATAAAAAAATGAAAATGACAACAGGCGTCACATTCTGCTCCTCGGGGCTGCAGAGCTCCGGTCCCCGCGGGGCGGCTCTAATGGATATTCAGATGTCAATGATCAGGGATATTATGATTTGCAGGAGGCTCTCACCAGCCGTCCACCAGACTAATTGTATCCCAACGTTTGACGAGGGGCTCGTCCTCGCATCATTTGCACCCCCACCACCTCTGTTACACCCTCCATCCAACTAATGTTGTGGATATTTATTAATGTATTTCACTCCATTGCTGCGGGTTTAAGTCGCCACCAATGACCTATGCCTTTCATTATCTGCCTGTCCAAGCAGCAACGTGCCAGGGAATAAATTGCATTTCTCGTTATGTGCTGCTGCCACTGCCCCGCTGTTAAGGGACAATTTCACTTCCATTCCTGCATATTGTATTTAATATATCTTTCTTTTTACAGTTCGTATGTGTGTATTTGCAGAAACGGGAACGAGAGATGGCCCACTCCTTGAATGCTCATCGCATTTTTGGTGTCACGGAGAAAAACTCGACGTCTTCAGACATTGCAACGCCTTACCATTAAAGAAAGGCTGTGATGGAGGGAGGTGGGGGTGAGACGGGGGAGGCTGTGGTGGCGGTGGGGGCAGGGTAGGAAAAAAAAAAAAATCAATAAAAGTGACAGTCTTTATTTGTCTGCATGAAGTTATCAGTGGCTCCCGCTGTAAGACATTGTGCTCCTTCTAGCGTTTCAACCACAGCAGAGATCACAATCCATCACGGAGCTCGGTGGGCTTGCACGACGCCGCAGGAATAATAATTGAGCTCCGATTCACCTGTCTTTAATTAGGGCCTCCGATCAGACCGGCCGAGTGGGATGCTAATACACAGAGGAGGCTGTACGCAGGGTTATTTATGCTTAATGTCCTGTTGCTGCAGCGCTAACGTCTGCTGCTGGGAAAGCATCATCAAAAATCTAGAATTTAGAGCTCGCAGTCTTTGTACACGAACAACACAATGTCTTCACACAAAGGATTATTACTGGGATTTCTGCATTGCATCAGATCTACTACAAAATACGCTTTACAGTTGTGGTGGTAATAAGAAATAAAAAAAACATAATTTTGGGATATGTGGATATCATGAATACATTTTTTTGCATATAAACAATAATCAAGATAATCAAAATGTCTTGATTTGGCTTTTACTGAATTTAATTCTGACTTTATCATTATATCATATAGACAGTCTGTCGATCCATCGTATCCTATATATCGTATTCTATATTATCGTATCTATTGTATCCTACATTGTTGTATCCATCAGTCTATCCATCCATCTATCTCTCCATCTTTATAACGACAAACCAACCAAACTATATTGTAAAAGATGCTGCAGTTGCTTCAGGTTAAAGCTCTGACTGATGATGTGCAATAAATAGAGGTAACAGTGATTTTCTATTTCTTTCTGTATAATTCACGCAGTTGAACAGTGAAAGATACAATCTGATGTTCAGAGTGAGTGAAGCCAGACAAAGAACAGACTGGTATGAAATGCCAAGTGGCTGCAGCTCCAGCATCCTCCTGTACAGTCTGTGCCTGGGATGCACATCACGCCTGTTATCCGCTGTGGCCACCTGGGGACGCCAGAGTGCAAAGTAGCAAACTGCAGCGCTTTAAATAAATCAGACACAATTCTACAATAATCACAGTGTGAGGACGTGAAAAAAAAAGGACCAGACAGGACTTCATTCTGTCAGGATATTCTCACGGGGGGGGGGAGCTGGACAATAATGGTGTCATCGTGTCCATCCCAAATCTGCCACTATTGCTTCCTTTCCTCTCCTCCTCCTTCCTTCCTCCCTTTCTTTGCTCTCCTCCCTTCTCTGGTGTGACCACATGGCAGCGAGGCCACAGATGAGGAACCAGCACAGTGAGGTGGAACCACAGAATGTGTGGTGAGAGGACCCATGGGTGCCCCCAAGCATCACCACCTGCGTCTCCTCCTGACCCCCACACCCACCCCCCACAAAACCATCTCTAACATTTACATATCCACCCCCCACCTCCCCTCCATCACCTCCTTAGACACCCCCATAGGCCTAGTGAGGGTGCCCATGGGCACCTGGGGCGTGTTCATTATATACGGTAAGAGGCTGTAAATCACCGATCTCCATCACTGCCACGACCGGAGCTGGCTCGTTCTCTCTCTCCCTCTCTCTCTCAATTCATTTTCTCCCTCGCTCTGCCTCTCCTCTCTTTCTCTCTCTGGCTGTAGCGCTATCAAATACAGCTGCGAACACAAAACACCGCGCCACAGCAGACAGCAAATTGGCTCAGAGTAAAAAAAAAATCACACACGTACACACACTCTCACAGACACTTACACACAGACAGTGCACAACAACAGAATATTAATGAAGGCCTGGTCTGTAAAGACACTGTCTGTGTGTGTGTGTGTGTGTGTGTGTGTGTGGTGTTAGGGGAAGGGGAATAGCACAGCTGCCATGACTGCCAGCCCCACATTGTGTGTTTGTGTCACGACTCCCTTACTGTACTGTGCACACATGCAAGGAGACATACAAGCAAAACAAAGAGGCAACATGGACGCAAGTGTGGGTAACATCCAGAGGGTGATGAAACCGCAGGTGGATGAGGGGAAACGCGAAAGAGAGACAGACAGCGAGAGCGAGATGGGGCGAGATTAAGACGGTGAAATAAACACCATTAAATGTGCTTCTCCCCCCCCCCGTCCAAAATGGTGATCCAGTGTCAGCGCCGCACTAGCGAGGCTGCTTTCAAAAGATAAGGCGGCCGACAGGTAAAATGAAGCACACATAATGAATGCCCATAAAAGTGCTTTTTGCTGCTCCGTGTTGTCAGTTGATCCCCAGAATAGTGAATCAACCAATAACCGAGCTGCAGGTTGAGAGCTTTCCGAGGCAGACGAGGCGCCACGTCCATTGAAATTAGGGTCGAATGCTCGGAATTGAGATCTCGGTATTTACAAGGAAATCTGGCAAATATTTACTCTTGTTTCTCTGGAAAAACACCTGAGGGAACGAGGGATTTTATTTTTGTGTGTGAGTGCTTTTGTAAACTGAGGACGACTGTATGCACGCAAACAAAGAGTGTTCACTGAACCTCTTTAACAATAACACACAGCTTAAGTGTGAAACGCCGTCGTTATGGAAATATAATCGAAATAACTTGTGGAAAACGCATCAACAGAACTTTGCCAATGGTTCAACAGGTGAGTGGATCAGACACGGTTCAAACTCAACATCAACAGCAGGAATAATACCTCCGAGGCCAATCCACAGAAACAACACACGTGTTTTTGACTTCAAAGATATTGTACCTTGATGCAAAGTGCAAGTTGTTGCTACTAAAAATGTGTATAAATATATGCTACATACTAAAATCTGATGTTTTAGGATTCATCTTATTAGGGTTCACTTAAGTTCTATATTAATCATTTTAACTCACGACAATAAGCTCAATGAACAGCTGACAGTTTGAACTTATTCCTCAGTGTTCACGTTGGTGACATTGTCCTTTCCAAACCTAAAACCATTTCATCGGGAAGATGAAGAACTTAAAACCAAAGCAAACAAAAAACCGTGCACATGAGTCTATGTCTCAACAAACACGGCTGCAAGGTAAACTTCCAACAACTGCG